ACAGATGAAAACATTGAGACCAAGCAAGAGAGGTTAAGTTATTTGGAATAAGGTCGAAATTCCTTACTCCTTAGCCTGTGCAATTCCTTTCTTGACCCTTCCACTAAATAAAGTAAATAGATGTGTTTAATTACCTGCTGTGCATACCCTGTGTATCAACTGAGTCTGGAGTTGGTGGCTTGGGGGTTGTAGCTATGGGTAGATTCTTTTGGGTCTTCCTACCTCTGGATCTCAACCACGCCATTATTTTATGTAAAGATCACAGGCATGCTTTGAAATAGCACTGATAGCAGAAGGAACACAGAACAGGCATTCAGGAGCCAGAAGTTCTATGTGAGCTTGAGCTGGTCATCTCAGGGCCTTCTCACCTGTCAAAGAAAGGTGGGGACTAAAAGACTCTCCTCTGCTCTGATGTCCATCATCCCATTGTCAAGGTCACCATAGCCCAGCTGTCCTGGCGTACACAGTCACCTGAGCTTGGGGATCTTCTCTTGTCAAAAAGTGTTATTGAAAGGTCCAGGTATCTCGCTTTGCCACTGGGAAGTCCAAATTATCAAACCACAACAGGAAGACATTTGTACCCAGTGGTCACTGTATGTGTGTGAGATCGTATGTTCACTATATGTGTATATAAATGTATATTAAAAAAAAAAAAACATTGCCATCGAGTTGATTCCAACTCATGGTGACCCTGTAGGGCACAGTAGAACTGCCCCATTGGGTTTCCAAGGAGCGGCTGGTGGATTCGTACTACGGACCTTTTGGTTAACAGCCCAACGCTTAACCACTGTGCCACCAGGGCTCCATATAAATGTATATAGTATATGTAAATGTATTATATACATATAAGGTGTGCATGTGTGATATATTATGAGTGTATGAGACTATAACTTTTTATTGTTTTTCATTTACTTCAGATCTTTTTGGAATGGGAAGGGCCTAGGCCTGGACATAAGTAAATACATGTTTAGAAAGTATAAAAGTAGAAACAAGGAGCTTTTAAACTACTAACTGCCCAGGTTTTTTTGTAAAGGACCAACTATGTGCTTAGTCTCCTTGCCGCTGTCTGCTGGTAATTCCCCTTTAGGAAGAAATTGCAGCTGTGCTCTCCGCTAACCAGGATGCCTCATGTAGAACAGAAAGAGCATGAGCAAGCCAGACAATATTAATTTCAGACCCGGCCTCTGCCCCTGTCACCTAGGAGTTGAATGATTTGGGTCTGTCTTGGTCTACTGAGTCGGATTACAGAACTGTAAGATGAGGATAAAGATGCCCACCACACAGAGTGGAGCTATCTAGTGCTACCTTCTGCACCCCCACCCCCACACACACACCCCAAACATGTAAAAGGCAAGCACAACCAGTCCATTTGGTCGACCTACACAGACAGTTGAGAAGGAAATGAAATTTGACTAAAGCATTCTGAAACAGTCAGTTGCCTAAAATAAATGGCCCATTAAACTGAGCTCATCCAATCAGTCAACCCAACCTTAAACCACATCTTTGCTTGGCCATCACTCACTACATTTTTTTTTTTTTTCCTAAAGAGTTAAGTCAGCTGGTCTCTCAGGCCCCTCTCTGATGCTTTGTATTCTCTAAAGGCTGCTGTTGTGGTTAGCTCCCGTGTAGTCAGCCCCCCGACTCATGGCAACCCCATGCCCCGTGGTATCAGACCATGTGCTCTATAGGGTTTTCATTGGCTAATTTTCAGAAGTAGGCCTTTCTTAGTAGTTTGTCTAAGTCTGGAAGCTCTCTTGAAACCTGTTCAGCATCATAGCAACACGTAAGCCTCCACGGACAGAGGAATGGTGGCTGTATGAGATGCGTTGGCTGAGAATTGAACCAGGGTCTTCTGCCCGGAAGGCGAGAATTCTATCACGGAACCATGACTGCCCCCCTCGAAGGCTAACATCTGTTTAATTGCTTGCTCTTTAATATACATTTTCAAAGAAGCTAATACAATTATCTGAGAGAGCAAGATCAACTGATTTGATCATAAAAATGACAGCCCTAGATTTTGTTCTTCGTTTATACATCCTGGACAAGTTTTAAACTGATGCAGTGAATTTTAAACCTACCTGGAGTATAGAGAAGAGAATGAATCCTCTGGGTGGAGAATATTTTCACTGGTTTTATAAATCCCACAGTCCCCAAGACAGGCCTGTTTCTAACCCTGCCCTTGATGGATTTAAACAGGAATCACTTAAGTGAGAGCTTCCGATTGATTCTGTTTTGGGAGAGTGTCAAACACGTACTGTAGTTTGCCAGCCCCTTGAAAACATGGACCATGACTCATTCGTCTTTGGGAACCCCATAGCATCTAGCCCAGCAGTGCCTGTGTGTCCTTAAGGAACCTTAACACCTAAATGTAATAAATCTCGGGTGGGTGACGAGAAGTATGATACAAGGAAGGCAGTTTTGGAAAGAGAGCCCTGCATTTACAGTTTTGAACTTGGACTCTGCCATTGATTGGATTTTTGTGTTTTGTTTGTTTTTATTGTACTTTAGATGAATGTTTACAAAACAAACTAGTTTCTTGTTAAACAATTAGTACACATTGTTTTGTGACATTGGTTACCAACCCAACGACATGTCAACACTCTCCCTTCTCGACCTTGGGTTCCCAATCATCTGTTTTCCTGTCCCCTCCTGCTTTCTAGTCCTTGCCCCTGGGCTGGTGTACCCCTTTAGGCTTGTTTTGTTTTATTGGCCTGCCTAATCTTTGGCTAAAGGGTGAACCTCAGGAGTGACTTCATTACTGATCTAAAAGGGTGTCCGGGGACATACTCTAGGGGTTTCTCCAGTCTCTATTAGACCAATAAGTCTGGTCTTTTTTTGTGAGTTAGAATTTTATTCTACATTTTTCTCCATCCCTGTCTGGGACCCTCTATTGTGATCCCTGTCAGAGCAGTCAGTGGTGGTAGTCAGGCATCACCTAGCTGTGCTGGACTCAGTCTGGTGGAGGCTGTGGTACTTGTGGTCCATTAGTCCTTTGGACTAATCTCTCCCTTTTGTCTTTGGTTTTCTTCATTCTCCCTTGCTCCTAATGTGATGAGCCCAGTGGAGTATCTTAGATGGCTGCTCACAAGCTTTAAAGACCCCAGATGCTCACTGCTCACCAAAGTAGAATGTAGAATTTTGTGTTTTGGGGCAAAGACCAACTCATCTCTAAAATGGTGGTGATACCTCTCCTGCCTTCTCACTTTACAGGGCTGTGGTGTGGGTCAACTGAGCAGGCTGTGAGGTTACCTTGTACGTTTTAAAGCTTTGTGCACATGAAGATAGCTTTTCCCATGGGGGAAATGAATGCACATATGCCTGCATTACCATCATCACCTGTATAACGCTGAGGCCGGCAGTCAGGTTGCATCAGATAACCTTTGCCAAATTCATGCTCCAATACAAACCACTCCAAACTCCAGTGGCCTAAAACCACAATCCTGCGTTCTCACTCATGAGCTGGGATGGCTGTGCCACACACTGTGGACTTGTAGGGTGGCTCCAGCCAGGGTACCTTCTTCTCATGGTGATGGCAGAAATGCAAGGGGAGAGTGGAAATACCCAAAGCCTGTTCAGGCCTAGGCAGGGACTGGCACATTGTCACTTTGCCCACATGCTATTGGCCAAGCCCAAATCAAGTTTCTGGGAAGCATAGTACCCCCACAGGGAGGCCATAGCAAGTGATAGATGCAGGGAGGGGTGAAGAAAGGGACTGATCATTTAATCTTCCATACAGGGTCACCTGCTCTCTGGAGGGCAGAACTAATGCCTGCTTTGATATTACTGGGCCCACTGTCTGGGGCTGGTGGGTAATAGATATTTCATTGTTGCTAGCTGAAGTCCAAACCACCTTTCCAACTCTTTTCTTTATAGCAGGGGTTAGCAAACTGACCCTGTGGACTAAATCTGTGGCTCTGTGTATGTATGGCCAGAGAGATAAAGCATTTATATGGTTGACAAAACTCATAAGAAGAAGAATTTGGACATTAAATGTATATGAAATTAAAATTTCAGTGCCCATAAATAAAGTTTTACTGAAACACAGCCGTATCCATTTGTTTACATATTGTGTGTGACTGCTTTGGAGTCTGCAAATGGTTAACTTACTCAGCTACTAACAGAAAGGTTGGAGATTCGAGTCTACCTAGAGGTGCCTGGAAAGAAAGCCCTGGCAATCTGTTTTCTAAAAATCAGAGATTGAAAACTCAGTGGAGCACAGTTCTACGTTGGCACACGTTGGGTCACCATGAGTCAGAGTCTACGCTATAGCAACTGTTTTTTTTGTTTGTTTGGTTGGTTGGTTTTTGTTTTGTTTTTTTAAATGACTGCTTTTGAGCTGTAAGGAGCCCTGGTGGCACAATGGTTAAAGGCTCAGCTGCTAACTGAAAAATTGCTAGCTCAAACCTACCAGTGGCTACGTGGGAGAAAATACCTGGAAATCTGTTCTGGTAAAGATTACAGCCTTGGAAACCCTATGGGGGAGTTCTACTCTATCCTACAGGGTCGCTGTGAGTAGAATCTAGGCACACAACAACATTAGAGATATAGCACCCCATAGGTGGTACAATTGCACTGACTACTAACCTAAAGGTTGGCAGGTCTAGCCCACTGTAGAAGATGGTAGTGTGGAAGAAAAGGCCTCGCAATCTGCTTCTATTAAGATTGCTGTCAGGAAAACCCTGTGGAGCAGTTTTACCTTGTAAGACACTTGGGGTCACCATGAGTTGGAACAGACTCGCCTGGCAACTAACAACAAGAACAGAGCTATAGCAACACAGGTTATTGATGCCAGAGAGACCCACGAAGACTAAAACATATCCTGTCTGACCCATTGCAGTTAAAGGTCGTCACCCCCTTCGGCCCCCACCCCCTTTATAAAGATAAAGAGACTGGTCGGGGTGCTGGGAGGGGAATAGTCCCTTAGGGCCACAGATTTGTCTGCTCCTAAGTGCTGTATTTATTTTGGGTTAATACTTTCCTTCCTTCTTGCCTAGTAATCGGCGGCCTGCGACATCCATGTGTTACTGACCAGCAGGAGGCATCCCCCCACGGCAGCGCTTCATGACCCAGCGGCGTCCGGCCCTCTGAAGCCACCGTGGTGTCCAGCATGGCCGTGCTGCTCCTGGGCGCGGTGCTGCTGGTGGCCCAGCCGCAGGTAGTGCCTTCCCGCCCCACCACCGTGGTCACCGAGCCCCCCGGCCAGCCTAGCCAGCAAGAGCTGCTGCGGAAGGTGGCCACGCTGGCGGATGACCACCTCCCGGACAGCGCGGCCCCCAACGGCTCAGCCAGGCAGCTGCCGCAGACCATCATCATCGGCGTGCGCAAAGGTGGCACGCGTGCACTGCTGGAGATGCTCAGCCTGCATCCCGACGTGGCGGCTGCAGAGAACGAGGTGCACTTCTTTGACTGGGAGGAGCACTACAGCCACGGCTTGGGCTGGTACCTCAGCCAGATGCCCCTCTCCTCGCCGCACCAGCTCACGGTGGAGAAGACCCCCGCGTACTTCACGTCGCCCAAAGTGCCTGCGCGGGTCCACAGCATGAACCCGGCCATCCGGTTGCTGCTCATCCTGCGCGACCCGTCAGAGCGCGTGCTGTCTGACTACACCCAAGTGTTCTACAACCACGTGCAGAAGCGCAAGCCCTACCCGTCCATCGAAGAGGTCCTGGTGCGCGACGGCCGCCTCAATGTGGACTACAAGGCACTCAACCGCAGCCTCTACCACGTGCACATGCAGAACTGGCTGCGCTTCTTCCCACTGCACCACATCCACATTGTCGACGGCGACCAGCTCATCAGGGACCCCTTCCCCGAGATCCAGAAGGTAGAGAGGTTCCTGAAGCTGTCGCCACAGATCCACCCCTCGAACTTCTACTTTAACAAAACCAAGGGCTTTTACTGCCTGCGAGATAGCGGCCGGGACCGCTGCTTGCATGAGTCCAAAGGCCGGGCACATCCCCATGTCGACCCCAAACTCCTCAATAAACTGCATGAATACTTCCACGAGCCAAATAAGAAATTCTTCGAGCTGGTCGGCAGAACATTTGACTGGCACTGATTTGCAATCAGCTAGCCTCGGAACCTTTTCTGTTGTAAGTTCGGGTGTACATCTGGGGAGGGGGGGGGGAGAATTTTAAAAGGTCATTTAAGGTATAATTTATTTGTAAAATCCATAAATTCCTTCTGTACAGTATTAGATTCACAATTGCCATATATACTAGTTATATTTTTCTACTTGTTAAATTGAGGGCATTTTGTATTGTTTTTCATGGTTGTTAACAATGTGTAATAAATGTGTCTATATGAAGGAACTAAAATATTTCACTGCAAAAAAAGAAAAAAAAAAAGATTTTTCTGGAGATGCTGTCTTTTTTAAATATAATTAACTTGCCCCCAACTCAAAATAGCTGTCTGTGTCACATTCATTGCAGAATCTCTATTCCTTTGTAATTTT